AAAAAAAAAAAAAAAAAAAAAAAAAAAGTAAAATAGCTAAGGATACCTATGTTCATCAAGATGTTGTTTTCTAGCTTTCCAGGGACTTGATTGCCAAAAATGGCCCTTAGGAAGAATTCCCAGGTGGCAAAGCAAAAGAGTAGAAAAAGATCCAAGTCTCTAGTCCAAGGACACTGTTCCCATCTGGAGCCGTGGTCCCCTCTTCAGTGCTTCTTTCTAAAAATAGTAAGCAGCTACCAAGTATCAGACCCTGCGCTGGGTAGAGGGCCTGGAGTAAGAAGAAGCCTACCACAGGTCAGTGTGGACACCGCCCATATATTGTACAGAAGCGTTGCTGCTTTTCGTCTTAAATTCAAATTTTAAAGTCCTAATGAGTCATCATTCACCCATCCACCTGCACTTCACAGTTTTGGATCTACTCAGAGATGAGACTTCAAAGTTGACAACATAGATTGTGTCATACTGAGAATGGCATAACCAAGATCTGATTCCGTAGGAAAAAGTTGCTCATCCCTCCAGGGACCCACAGGGCAACCTAAACCTTTGGGAAATGTCCAGGTGTGGCAGTGCTGCTTTGTGCAACCCATCCAGCCCTCCAATTTCCTCCCAAAAAGCCCCCCCCCCGGGGCCCCCTGAGTCACCACAGACCCCAATTATTCAACAGGCACGTCAAAGGCTTCCTTTGCCAGGAACTTGTTAATCATTCAGTAAATAATTACCCTATGACTGCTATGTGCCAGGCACTGTTCTGGGTGCTGGAGATACACAGGTGAACAAAGACCCCGGACCTCTTGGACCTTACATTCTATCAGACCCGGGACAAAGCTGAGAAAGACAGATCTCCATCTGCAGGCAGTGGGGAAGATGGGCTCCCACAGAACTAAAATACAAGGTGGTGAGGAGGTTACCAACAATATGGAAGAAAATAAGCAGTCCGTTTTGCCAAAGACTGGGGAACAGCAAACCATGGAAGACTGCACAGTGCGAGGTGTGACCACATGGCCCTATGGATCCTCCCTAGACTCTCAGGAGCAGCAGAAGACATTTACCCACCTAAATTTCTATTAGACTTACACCTTTGTAAAAGAAAGCACTTTTGGAATCAGCAGCCTTGTCCTGAAGCCCAGCTCAGAGGCACCAAGATCAGCATTCCTCCTCCTAACAACTGTCCTCGGAGCTGGGAAAAAGGTTTAGGGGAAATGTGTTTTCTCTTTCTGATGGACAGAGTGAGTGAGGAACCCCGTGGGCCCACATATGGTCCATCCTGAGCTGGGCTGAATTCTCGAAGCTTCATGCTCTGTGACTGACGCTCCCCTTGGGGAAAAGTCCTTTGCCCATGGAGGAAGCTGGAAAGAGGGAGTTGCCAGGGCACTCAAGGGTTCTCATCTCAGGAAATAACTCTGGGACAGAAATGGATGACCGCTTCATTATTTTCTGGAGAAAGAAAAAAAGAGCCCGCCCTGTTTCCACTTGTAGATGGTGACACAGACCAGCTGCTGTAGATGTAAACCCTTTCAGAAAAACTGTTTGGGTAAAAAAAAAGTTTTTTGATGTGTTGGCTGAGGAGAATTCCCTCCCACATGACAGCTATTTGGACATCGGCTGGACAGACTTTTTTGTCTTGGCATTATAAACATTTATGCCTAAACACAAAACAACTGTGTGAGTTCAGATTTACTCCTCAGCCTAGAGGCATCCGGAGGCTTGTCTGAATGCAGAAATGGTTTGAACCCTTGGTAACAGAGAGCCGTGAAGAACTGCATTCATTTCCTTGAATGGGACCAGCAGTGCTGGAGCAGCAGACTAAAGTTGTCCTCAGTGAGTTTGTACTTAAGAGACAGCTGGGCTCCCAGCTGTGGTCCTCCCCGGCCTCCAGGACCCAAGTGGTCCTCCCCGGCCTCCAGGATCCACTGTAGCTCCATTCCTCACCACCGCACTGATGTCTCCACTCCTCCAACCAGGACTCTGGTGTTTTCTTAGGCAGCTGGTGCTATTTCTCACGTCCCTGCCCTTCTCCCCCAGTCACCTCTGTTAGAAACGCCCTGCTACACCCCTGCTCCTCAGGACTAATTAACCCCTTCTCCTGAAGCTTTTAGATTCATCTCAGAAGTTTTAGCCACCAGGGATCCTTCTTGAACTGCTGTTTACCCCAGCCTGGGCTGGCTGTCCCTTCTCTGTGTTCCCCACGTGTGTTTCCCTCACTGCGCACAACATACTGTTTTATAAATGCCTGTTTCTACCCGCCTCTCCCACTCAACTCAGAGCTACTTGAAGACAGACACTATGCCTTTTTCATCTTTATATCTCCAGAATGTAAGACAGACTGAGGGGTATCATACAATTCTTTTTTTTTTTTCAATTAGTAAATGAATGAAAGAATGAATGAACAAATAAATTGGTCTCCCAAGACTGAACATGTAAGAGATAGATCAGAAGCAAATGTATTCGATTCTCCAATCAGAGAATCTGAATAGACTGCAGATCTGAATGGAGATTCACTGGAAATAATAGGTTTGTTTCGTGATCCCCTTTCTAAGTGAGAACTCTTTCCTTTTATTCACTAGCCA